AGGCTTGGAAAGATTGTAAAGTCAAGGAAAAGAGAGCTCCCTAGGGATGCAACTGGCTTATCGGTCACCCGTAGGCCGCAGCGCTGTAGAAACTAGATCTCGTTGGGATGGGTTATTCCCATACTAGCCTTGCTTTCTCTTGGTTTGGTGGCTTGCTCAGGCAGGGCCTGGGGGCTCAACCCGCTCTCCCCCAGCCCGACTCGCACGCAGCGCAGAACGATGCCGCTAACACGACAGCTGGATGTAAAAGGCCTGCAAGGGTGTTTCTGCTTTTCTACAAGCACCGCAATGAGAAACTGCTACCTGCAAATGAATGAGCTGGGTTGAGTTTGGACGAGGTCCACTGGAAACGGGGGAACATGGGGAGCCGGACTCAGGCTGATTCTGGGATGTACCCAGCAGCTGGGGAATGGAGAGAGGTGTCACCGGGTGATAGTCACGGTTGGAAAACCAATACGTGAACCGCGGTTGCATATACTCCATCGGCAAAATGCAAGCAATCCCTTCGGCTCACATTTGTCCAACCCACCTCTTACCTAAGCAAATAAAAACTATCCTGGCTGTAAAGCGTGAACAGCAGGTCTCATACCTGGAAGAGGTGAGCACTGAGCTCACTAGGAAGTCTCTTGGACTTGCAGATCTGTTTATCCTCCTCGAAGCTCCGAGGATAAAGAGACAGGCAATATAAACCCAGTGTGCGAACCGAGAAAGCACAAACAACTCTCCACAGTTAAAAGTTTCCAGCATCAGGAGAGAGAACATAACACAATTAATCCTTGAAACACAATGTCCTGGCAGTGTCCTTTAACTGTGGTCCAAAACCCTTGGCACTGAGTTATGTCGTTCAGGATGTTGCGAGTGAAAAACCATCTGTAAATTGCCCAAATTTATGAGTCAATATTTTTTTTTCACGGACAGAGAGTGGACTTTATAAAATGTCTCATATCTATACTTTGGTGTGGACAATATATATCTGGACTTCGAGTAGGCATTTGATACAACACCATATGATATCCTAGGGGAAGCGTTAATATATGTTGACTTGGACAGAAGTAATATTCAATTGGATTAAAAAACTGGCGCCAAACAAGAAGAGAGAGTCATTTTTAGATCGTAAGGGGGAAGAAAGGGTGTGAGAAACAACAAGTAATCTTGATGCAAGGAGGTAAGCACTAAACAGTGATTTACATAAAGAACTAATCAGATCAGACAAACCTGAGGGCCTTAATTGTGTGCTACAAATGTCAAATTAGTTGGTTGCGAAAGACTCCAATAGGTGAAACACTTTGTCATACTTGAAAATTATTTGCTGGTATCCCATCATCTACTGAGGTGCAGGGACTTACCCTATTCTGGCAGGTCGACTGCCCAGGTAAGGGTTCGTTTAGATACTAATGAGGAGACGATATTTAGAGCTGCTGTTCTCCAGATTTACTGACTTATCTAAGCATCAAAAGTAAGTGGGGAAAGGAGGCTATTGAGGAAAAAACGGGGCCTCCGGGTAAATAGAAAATAAACATTCATTTCACAATGCACCGAAAACCAAATTCGGTGCCACGCTGGGTTGGATGTGTCGTGCTCTTCTGACGAAGAGGTTGATGGGAGCCCTGTGCTTCAGAGATGCATAATAAGTGATGCTAACTGTACGGGGCTCAGGCTGGGGCTCTTCAAGTATAAGAAATTAGGAGTCAAGTGGAGGCAATTCAGGAAAGGCCTACCGAGGTGAGACGGCGATGAGGAATATGGGATCGGGGAAGCGGACAGTGGCATATACAGAAACAGGAGTGCAGCTTGGAAAGAAGGGGCCGAGTCTTCACCTGGAAAAAGAGTTGGCTTCAGAAGGAAATCCACAGCTCACGGCAGTCTAAGGAGGTATGTGTAGGAAGGAAACTGAGGCTCAAATGTCAGGAATAACTTTAAGATGAGCGGTCACCCCAGCAAGGTAAGTAGTGGAAGCCCAATCACCGGAAGATTTTGGAGAGAGGCAGATAAAGGAGCGCAGCTGTCTGGGCAGTCCTGCTTTAGGGAAGGGAGCACATGACCAGGTAGGCTCTTCCTAGTCTCTCTATTTGTTAGGAGATAGTCCTGTCAAATGTCCTCTTTTCTTTGCAAAAATCAAAGCAAAGTTTCACCAGCCTCCATATCTGATCCTTCTTGACCCTGCAATCAGAACTGTGGCCCAATCCAGAGCATGTCTCGGCTGTAACAGCAGCTGGCGCACAACAGGATGGGACAACCCTCGTTCTTCTATAGCTACCCAACTGTTGGACACTGCCTGGGTTAAACATGTATGTGCGCCAGTAAATTAAGCAGATTTAATTCAGAAGGTAACAAAGAAAGTCCAGGAAGTAAGAGTGACGCTGGGCATGTCTACATGTGCATTTACTGTGCGGTAAATTACTGTGCAGTAAGTGGTTTTTAAGCCGGCGTCTACACATGCAGGTGTTACAGCTCAGTAATGCTGTGTGTGGACCGACTTGGGAGTAAAGTTAGTCCTAAGTCAGTCCAAACATACAGTGTTACTGTGCAGTTTCACATCTACATGTGCATTACTGCACAGTAACTACTCAGGTGTAAATTTGGTACCTGCATCATGCAGGTAGCAGATTTACACCCAAGTCAGCATAAGTCGCCATAGTTACTGTGCAGTACACACATGCCTGTATTGCACAGTAATTTTAGGTTAGTGCGCAGTAAGTGTGCACGTGTCGACATACCCACCGTTTACAAAGCCACCTTTTGCTCAAGACCACATTTGTCTGTTTCCTGCTCTAAGCACACGTTTGTGAAACCGAAAGCGATCCGAGGACTTCTGTTAAAAAGGCATTTATTATAAAATAACCAAAGCTCTATAATGTTTAGAGACATAAGGCACAATTCCCTATTCTCTCTTGGAAAGCACACGTGGACTGCGTACCCAACATCTTGGAAAAAAAGGCAGCCTGAAATGTGCTAAGGAAGATCTGATTCAATTTTAGTCTCAAAGGTATGGTTGCTAGTCACAACAGACAAACACAATGCCTCACACTACCGAGCAAGAAAATCTGCTTGATGAGCTGATAACTCCAGGTCCCCGGCTCTGGCTAGCGGTACAGGCATGTTTACAGTGCTGTTTCCAAAGTCCTGTCAAGATGAGATAGCAGCAACTTTATCAGCAGGGAAACTTAAATAATAAGCATTACCAAAGTCAAATATGCCTCGAGGAATGAAATATATACTTAATATTCTTAATGGAATATATGGGGTGGAGAAGATTTATTAACGATTTACTTTCCATTATCTCGTTTTACTCTCCTCCAACGATTCAATAGATAACTATAAAAATTCTGAAATGATGTCAAACGTAAGGGAAGGCTGAGGTTAACTTCTTAATTATAAAGGTATATCACTAATGTGACTTTTCTGGTCTTGACATCACATCTAAGACTATAATTAGGCAAATAAGCGAAGACTTCAGGAAGTTAAACAGATGCCAGCAATCAGTAACAGCCAATGTCTAAAGCTTTATACATATTACAGTCAACTCCCTTGACCCTGGCTCCAAAATTTCCAGCCGCTAACACTGGCAGCACTGGAAGAATGAGCGTCAACAACACTTTAACCACCGTGTCAGCCTGGCTTGCACTGATCAACGGGCCAGATTTCCAAGGCATGGAGTCCCCTCCAGATGCAGACAACTTTCTAGTAGGATTCACAAAAAGTACCTGGCTGGGTTAGATTTCTAGCTCCCTTTGGAAGTCAATGACAACTGGGTACCTAACCTGCTCAGACACCTTTTTAAATCCCAGCAGGGACCGACCCGCACCTTTCATGTGCCCAAATCCCTAAATGTGGTCTCTCCAAGAGAATTACAGTGACAAGAGCTGCACTCGTGGAAACAGTGGTGAGAAAATTTAGGGGAGAGATTGCAGTCTAGCTGTAGCCCAGCTGTACTCAAGATCTGTTAGCAGAAAAAGCTGCTCACAGGTCAACTCCAAAAAAGCGCATGGGAAAGCATTAGTGGGCAGTGAGTGAAGGCAGCTTGGGTCACCACCGTGCGTGATCCTCCATCACATGTTATATTGGAGGCATACGCTGAATGAATGCCTAAAGCAATGATGAACAGTCTAGTAATCAAGAAGCAATAAACTTGGAAGCAACTGCTACTAATATAGCAGAATAAGACACCACAAGAAGATGACTTAAAGCAGACATCAGAGGTGTCTAGTCCATGCTTGGACACCCACAATACAACTGGCATATTCCAATGACTGGGTCCGGATGAAAGCAATGTAGGTAGCAAACCTGGGTGCTGGTCCATGACTAAGGCTCTTAGACACTGCAGCAACAAAAATAAATAATAATGCTGATAATGAGCTGAACCGGTGTTCTGGTTAGCTAGCAATCAGCCTTGCAGAAATGGAAAACATGAAGTCTTTGCATTTAAAAAACAATACTGTGACACAATAAGAAACAAGGCAGATATGGCCAAGACAAGAGAAAGCAGCTTTCCACAGGAAACTAAAGGCCGTTTTCGTCTCCAGCATTATAAGTCCCATCAGCAGG